GTATAGTTGGTTTACAATGTTGTGTTAGTTTCAGGGGTATAGCAAAGTGATTCAGATGTATATATATATTCCTTTTCAGATTCTTTTCCATTATAGGTTATTACAAGATATTGAGTATAGTTCCCTGTGCTATACAGTAAGTCTTTGTTGGTTGCAATAGCTCTTAATATGTCCCTGAGGTTAGTAAATTACAATTTTCACTATACTGCATATTGTAAGGGAAATATGTTCTGTCAAAATTTTTGAGAATTTAGACATTTGCAAAGGAGATTTGGAACATCTTTCTGTGATTACTGTGCACTGTGACAAGTACATATTGAATATCCTAGGCTATTCCTAGGGAAGGGGGAGACAGGTAGCAAAGGTTTTGTGAGGAAAATAACAAATAAAGCAAAGATCCCATTTTCAACACGAAAAGCATTTCCTCTGTTCTGTCCAAAAAGATCAGACTCCTTACAAGACTAAGTAATGCAAAGATTGGCTCCTAAAGAGGAGAATTTTCCCCCAGAGTGTGATTTAGGGTTAGCTCTATAATCTAGGGCACACCTTCTTTCAAGGGACGCGTTCTTGACTGCAGAGAATTAAAAATGTAACCGAACCCGACTTTTCTAGCAGGCTCTGGACCCTGGAAAAGCTCCATGGTGCAGCTGGAGAAAAAAAAAAAAAATAGGCCAGTTGGCAGCCAGGACTAAGGTTGGTGAGATTAGGGGAAAGGAACCTGGACCAAGTCTCTAAATGGTTCTTCGTGCCAAGGGCTGACCAGTGGTCTTCAGTGGCATGCCGTACTTTAATCAAAGCATCTATGAGAATATTATATTTAAATAAAGCACAGATAAGAAGAGCATTGCTCTGCACCCTACAAAAAATGCCGCCTGACCTACTATACCACAGGAGCATAATGAAAATACTTTGTTTTGAATGGTTTCAGCTAGGCAATCTGTGAGTGCATAGCAAGTTGATGTTGAACTTGAGTTGTGCAAATTTGGAAGATCTTTTGTAAGTTTGTGGAAGTTAGATTTCTTTCTCTTGACAAATGTAATTTTGTGTATGACCGTATGTGTAACATTTTTAATGTTTAAGAACTGACATACCTGTATACTTTGTTAAAGAGTAAGAAGAGGAAGTACCAACTTTGGTTAGTTCTACTCTTTTTTTTTTCTGCTTCTTTTTTGTTTTATTCACTAGTTTGTTGTATATTTTTAGATTCCATATATAAGTGATATCACACAGTATTTGTCTTTCTCTGTCTGACTTATTTTAATTCTACTCTTAATAATTAAATCAGTCATTACTATTTTCCCTTTAGAACATCCTGTGACCTTGAACAGTACTGGGTTCAGTCTAATATGGTCTCCTGGCTAAAAAATTATCTGTCAATTATCATTGCTTTCAACAGAATCTAAAGGTTAGACTGATCAAATGAAATGTAGTCTGGATAATCAGGTTCCATGAATAACTCAAATGGTAAATCTGGTTTTCTTTCGAAAATTAATACTTTATAAAATAAAATTTTATTCCTGAAACTGAGCAGAGTCAACTTCATGCCTTTTAATGATGCTTAAAATGTACATTGTAGCAAAACCCAGATTTATCCTGAAAATATGTCAACAACTTATGAAGGGATATTTGCAGTGAATGAAATTATCTTTTTCAAACAATTTTTGAGTTTACATGTGGATCAGCTATTTTGACTGATAAACTCATTCTTTTTTTTCATTTATTTTATTTTTTTAATTTTTGGCTGTGTTGGGTCTTTGTTGCTACATGCGGGCTTTTCTCTAGTTGCGGTGAGCGGGGGCTACTCTTTGTTGCGGTGCGCAGGCTTCTCATTGCGGTGGCTTCTCTTGTTGCAGAGCACGGGCTCTAGGCGCGTGGGCTTCAGTAGCTGTGGCACGTGGGCTCAGTAGTTGTGGCTTGTGGGCCCTAGAGCGCAGGCTCAGTAGTTGTGGCGCATGGGCTTAGTTGCTCCGCGGCATGTGGGATATTCCTGGACCGGGGCTCGAACCCATGTCCCCTTAATTGGCAGGCAGATTCTTAACCACTGCACCACCAGGGAAGCCTGATAAACTCATTCTTGTTAATCTAACAACAAATAGATTCAAATAAATATCTGGCTTAATTGATGTTTTTGATTGAGTTGACTTATTGCTTAAAGCGTTTAGCCAAACTGACTTCTTTTGCTATTAAAGACTACTATATTTAAGGTTTGATTTGCAGTCTAGATAAGCCAAGAAGCCCAGAGTGATCACCTCGTGATTTTAAAGGTGATTCCATCACAGGGAAAAAATCAGAGGACAAAGTTGGAAGATTGTCTTCTATAATATCTAGAGTACAAGATTTCTTAAGGAGAAAAATCTAGAAGTGCGCTATTATATTGCTAAAGACATATTGGGTGGTTGCTAACTTCCTTCAAAACTGAAACTTGAATGTTCATGCTTACAGCATGAATGACTGTTGTTCATTGCACAATGAAATGTGCCGTGTGCCTCACATAAGCGGACTGTGAGCATGTGATTAATCTCAGCATCCTCTTTGACACGAGGCAGATGATACATCATGACTGACGAGGGATCCGTTCCGTCTGGTAGTTTTAATGCAATGGGGCAAGATGATAATAGGGAAGTAAAAGAGGAAGCCAAATACACAATATATTTTTTAAAAATTGTGCCTTCTGTTTTACAGACTGTACTTTTGGTCTCGTTTGTAAGCGTGAGAAAGGAAGTATGAGGTGGAATTTGAATCAGCTTCTCTTTTCAACGTTGGTCATTACCTTAAACAAGAGTGTTTCTGTGCCTTGGTTCATCCCTCAGCAAGAAGGAGGGAGACGTGAGACAGGAGTGTGACTCGCATTTCCTGAGTGTTTGTTCTGTGCCAGCCCTGGTTCTGGGCACTTTACCTGTGACATCACTGACTCGGAGTGGCACGACCAGTAGTGTTAAGGGTGGACCCTGGGAGCAGGGTCCCTGATTGGAGTCCTAGTTCAGCCATTCACTCCTGTGACTTTGGGCAAGTTATCCACTATTCCTACCAACTCACACTCATTGAGCTTTTCCCCTGAACTAGACACTGTATCAAGTGTTTTTCTTATTTATTTATTTGGATCCTCACAACATCCTTATCATAAGGTTGTACTGTCGTTATTTTGAAGACATTCAAGGTAAAGAGAAGTTAAGGGAGGGAGACTGGTGTAAAGATTAAAATCATCTGGTTCTAGAGCAACACTGCTCATGTTCACATCACAGCTAGACCACTTATTAGTTGTGTCAGTTTAGGCAAATTATTTAACCTCTCTGGAGACACATAGAGCTTACTTTGAACAGTGCTGGGCACACAGGAAAAGCTTAGTGAATGTCAGCTATTATTGTAGTTTGGTGAAATGGCAGGTATCCCTGTTTGCAAAATATATTTACTGCTCGGTTTTGAGTATCCAAGAGATGGAACAGACATCTTGTCTTTAGGACTGTGAATTCAGGCCAGTCACTGTACAGCACACACGGGTATGTGTATGAGGGTATTCAGGACTGTGCATCCTCTCTCTGGTCTGTCTCTTTTCTACCAAGAACTCTTTTGGTTCCTCTTTTGGGTTGGCGTGGGGAGGAGTGCGAAGGGGAGGGTACCATGCCTTTGTGATGTCTCTGAAGAGCAAACCAGGGCTGCAGTAAGGAGTGTCATTGAGTGTGTGGTTGGTTGTCCCCAAGTCCAAGGCCACCAGCATCGTGACAACAGGAGTGTCTGCAACGTGTAACACACCCAGTGGAAAGAAACCTCATTAACTCAGAATTTTGTTTAGCGTACTCTTTATTTGTGATCAAAACTTTGAAGCCCAATGGTAGGGACCATAAAATAAATGAAGACATCTCTATCTTATAATACTTAGAGGATCCTTTAACTCAAGATTTGTGAACATGGCGAAAAGATTAGTTTAAAAAGCTGGAAACTCTCACTCTTGTAATGACAAATTCATGAAGTACTTATTGATCACAATAAAGTGATGAATAGGGTTTGTGTTTAAGCTCATTTTCAATACTAGTTCTTAAATTTTAAAAAGTTACCTTTAATTATCAAACTAATGAAGACTCATAAGAAAAGACAGTCAATATAAGGGCAGTTGTCTTTTTTTTTTTTTTTTAGTAGAACATAAAGAAATTCATTCATGCTTCTCCTTATGAATTGCTACTCTTCCTAAGACTCTTTAATTTTGAAGGAGCTGTCGGCTATGATGGCTGTGGATGAAGAGACTTCTTCCAGGACCAGCCCAGGTCCCCTGCCACTTTGACAAATCTGAATAGTGAGGTCCCTGGCTTGGCAACCCCTAAAGCCAATGAGCCGCTAGAGACCCACGATCAGGAACGCACTTCCCCATTTCTGTTTGACGTTGCTCCTTTTTTCTTTTCCTCAGCCCACCTCTTCTCTGGGTCTGGCCTCAGCCTATTATGACTTAGGTTTGGCCCGAGAACATAGAAGAATCTTCAGATGGAGACAATAATCTTGGAAACAAAATGGCAACATCATGTGAGTGGTTTCCATGGATTTTCTTTGTAGATAGTTGATTGAGCATCTCCTAAGCCACCTGAATGGTTCAAAATGCAGAGTTCAGTATTTCCTATCTGACTAGGGTTAGGTCTTTATCGAGATCACCATGGCAATCTGTTCTGAAGTATGAAAAGGGCCTGCTTAAGGCCAGCTATCAAAGAGAAGGCACGTACCCAGGTTTGGCACATACTCTGGTATCTGCTCCTTTCTAAAGACAGCACTTTCTGTTTCCAAAGTGAAAATAGATAAACAAATTTTATTTATTTATTTATTTTATAAATTTATTTATTTATTTTAGTTTTGGCTGCATTGGGTCTTTGTTGCTGCTCACGGGCTTTCTCAAGTTGTGGCGAGCAGGGGTTACTCTTCATTGTGGTGCAGCCTTTTCAATGTGGTGGCTTCTCTTGTTGTGGAGCACAGGATCTAGGGCGCGCAGGCTTCAGTAGTTGTGGCGCACGGGCTTAGTTGCTCTGTGGCATATGGCATCTTCCCGGACCAGGGCTCGAACCCGTGTCTCCTGTATTGGCAGGCGGATTCTTAACCACTGCACCACCAGGGAAGTCCTTTTCTGTCAAGTGTCAGACTATCAATCATCCAGACGTCCACAGGCCAGAACGCCGAGCGTAGACAAGTCTCTCTTCTCTCTGCCACCTAATGACACAAACGTGACGCGGCAGAACAAATTTTAAATGACCTGATAAGGATAATCAAATAGTGTATTGAGAAGTTAAAGAATGACTATTCCCCAGGGAGTTAAATTATAATACTTAAGTTTACCTTCACTGTATTTTCTAATGTTCAAGATTACTTTAAAGGATCCTATAAATATCAAAATAGTAAAATAAAATAGGGTGAGATTATTCCCTAAAGGTCAGAAAAAATATAAATAAAGGATTAAACTAAATGGCTTCTGGACACTGTTGGCAATGACTAGTTCGTTTCTAGTATATGGGTGCTCTGGAAGGGATGGAGCGCAAAGGAGGGTCTAGAACTGGCTCTTCCCCATCTCATCTCAGTGTTCCTGCTTCCCACCCTGTCTCCCCTACTCCTCCTGCAACAGACAGGATATCCTGGGTTTGCGGAGCATCACCTTAGCTGGAGACCCAGGGTGAGACGGGAGAGGGACCCTCCTGTTCTGTGTGAACAGCAGCTGCAGAGGAGACATCCTTGCTGCGCCTTCTCCTCCCACCAGGCTGGTGGAGACTCGAGAGATGATAGGTGGGGAGTGGCCTTTCCCTCCCTGGGATGAGGCTGTAGTCCGTGTGCAGCTGGGGATGAGGGAGTAGGGAGAGGGAGGAGGGGGACAGCGGTCCCTTCCCCACCCTTCTCTGTGCACTGCAGGGGCCTCAACCGGCAGGTTGGTAGGACCTGGAAAAAGCTTACCTCTGTTGCTGCCTCAGGCATTCGCAGAAGCTCCATTAATAGCTCTGGTACCTTCGGCCATCCACTCTCAGAAAAGACAATGAGATTATGTGTGTCAAAGTGCAAAAAGAAATCTAAGCGCATTTACAACATTCCTCTCACCTCCCTTCTATCCTCCTGAAGATTCTTTGCTTGTTCCTTGGCTACCAGGCTTTGGGAATGCTGAGTGGAGGTGCCACACTGAAGGAACCAAGGTAGAGGATAGAGCCCTCTCCCTAGGAGAGAGCACAAGAAGGAAAATTTAGGAAGGAGGACGGGGGGTGGGAGGAAATAAACAAGTCAAACACGAGAGGATATTTGTCTTTCTCTGTCTGATTTACAGATTATATTCCATTAAAAGTTATTACAAAATAATGGCTGTATTTCCCTGTGCTGTGCAATATATCTTTGTTGCTTACATATTTTATATATAGTAGTTTGTGTCTCTTAATCCCATGTGCCTATGTTGTCCCTCCCCTCTTCCCTCTCCTCACTGGTAACCACTATTTATTTTCTATATCTGTGATTCTATTTCTGTTCTGCATATACATTTGTTTGTATTTTTTTGGATTCCACATATGTTTTACAATCTTTCTCTAAGGAGGCTATTTCTCCACACTGCAGTGAATTAGGACATTGCCTTTAATGAAAGGAGGAAATAAATTACAGCATGAGTACATGGGCTCATGAGCGCATATGGATGACAGCTTTCTTCAGCTGTGATGCTTGGAATAGTAATTCTATGCACTTAGCACTTAGTTCTTAGTATACTTCAGATGGAGTTTGGAAAAGACAATGCCCATCTTCTATCCAGAGATATGCAACACACATGAACTTTTTTCTTTTTTTTTAATATTTATTTATTTCGGCTGTGAAGGGTCTTAGTTGCGGCATGTTGGATCTTTGTTGTGGCATGCGGGATCTTTAGTTGGGGCACGCTGGCTCTTAGTTGCGGCCTGTGGACACTTAGTTGCGGCATGCATGCGGGATCTAGTTCCCTGACCAGGGATGGAACCCGGGCCCCCTGCATTGGGAGCACAGAGTCTTACCCACTGGACCACGAGGGAAGTCCCACACACAAACCTTTTATAATTCTGCAGTAACCACAGGTATTCAACTCAACTAGAAATCCCATTGAACTCACTTTGGGAAACGGTCTGATCCAGGAGGGACTAGACTGGTTTGTGTTGACATTGAATATATTTGAGTGAATTGAAAACCAGAATCTGTAACCAGAGTCAGAAAAAAAAAAAATCTCTAAAAAAAACCCTAAATTGTGTTACTTAGAAGATTTGCTGGATGATACTTCGCTTTTCCTTCTAATAGCTCTTTGAGTTTTTATCTGAGTTTTATTGTGATTACTTTAAGAGCGTGCTAGGTACCTTGAAAGGCTTTTTTCCCAGCCTCTGTGCTCTCCTGCTGGTTAGATGCCTCTTCCTCTAACTCAACAGCCCCAGGGGGATTTTCCCATTTTTCAAGATGCCTGTTCCTTCTTTCTTGCGTTCTTTACCCAGAGTTTGTTTTGAACGGGTTCTCGCTCCTTCTTTCTTACGTGTTACTGAAACCATGCAACCCAGATTGGGACTTGAACTCACTGTATTTTTTGTTGTTGTTGAATTTTGTTTTTTAAACTTTATATTTTAGGACTTTTTTTAAAAAATTATTTATTTATTTATTTATTTATTTTTGGCTGTGTTGGGTCTTCGTTTCTGTGCGAGGGCTTTCTCTAGTTGCAGCAAGTGGGGGCCACTCTTCATCGCAGGGTGCGGGCCTCTCACTGTCGCGGCCTCTCTTGTTGCGGAGCACAGGCTCCAGACGCGCAGGCTCAGTAGTTGTGGCTCACGGGCCCAGTTGCTCCATGGCATGTGGGATCTTCCCAGACCAGGGCTCGAACCCGTGTCCCCTGCATTGGCAAGCAGATTCTCAACCACTGCGCCACCAGGGAAGCCCTGTTGTTGAATTTTATTTTATTTTATTTATACAGCAAGTTCTTATTAGTTATCCATTTTACACATATTAGTGTATACATGTCAATCCCAATCTCCCAATTCATCCCACCCCCACCCCCACCCCTGCCGCTTTCCCCCCTTGGTGTCCATAAGTTTGTTCTCTACATCTGTGTCTCTATTGAACCCACTGTCTTTTAATTGTGATCACACACCTGGTCTCAGGACTTAATGAACCTCAGGTTCTTTATGTCTTGTCGCAGAAAGAATTCAGTGAGAGACAAAGTAAGAAGTGGATTTATTTAGAGAGAAATACACTCCATAGACAGAGAGTGGGCCATCTCAGAAGGTGAGAGGCCCCGAAACATAGGGTGGTTAGTTTTTACAGGCGGGGTAATTCCATAAGCTAACGAGTGGGAAGATTATTCCAACTCTCTTGGGGAAGGCGTGGGGATTTCCAGGAATTGGGCCACTGCCCACTTTTTTTTGGCCTTTTATGGTCAGCCTCAGAACTGTCATGGCACTGGTAGGTGTGTCATTTCGCATATGCTAATGTATTACAATGAGTGTATAATGAGGCTCAAGGTCTACTGGAAGTCGAATCTTCTGTCATCTTGGACCTAGTTGGTTCTAACCAATTTTTGTCATAGGCTATGTCTTTTAAAGGTTGTGCCCTGCCCCCTTCCCTCCTGTTTCATTATCTCGGCCTGAGGCCAATTCCAATCCACTGTGGCACTCTGCTCTGGCTTCTGGTGCCCAGCTTGGGCAGTGCCACCGTCTTCTTTAAGTTTATGGAGGGAATTTGAAATTCACTGAGGTCTCTGAGCTGTGGAATGAAGGAAGCGGTAACAGAAGGAACTAAAGCTATCTCGGAGAAACACTGCTGAACATCCAGATAGGTCCACTGGGTCTGTGGATCACAGTTTGGGTCAACTTGAGGGCACTGGAGCCACTGTATCTTCTGAAATACACTCTGTACCCTTGTAGAATGAAAGACTGAAAGCTGCCAGGGAGTCTCAGAGCTGGAAGGGCTGCAGGGAGTAGTCAGATTCCTGACTTAGAACCCAATTCACATTCACCACAGGGCAAGACATGTATTCAGAGGTGTTTTTCCCAGTTCCTCTTATTCTCTCTTTTTTTTAAAATTAATCCCTTCCTTCCGCTTAATATCTATTTATGTTTTCCTCACAAGACCACTGTATAAAATCATAGGCTTAAAGAGAAGAAATCAAAGCTTTGGAAACTCTGTGGCTGGGTTGCAACAAAGACTCTCCTTGATCAAACTCTAGTCAGTCTCCTCTGAGACAGCTGCTTGACTAAACCCCAAACTTGGTCTATAAAACTGCAGACTGCCCCCCCAACCCACACCCCACCCTGCCCCCTGGCCCATACCCACTATGAGACTTGAACAGACACTGGCTTAGTTTCCAGCAGCTCAAGACCACATCCCGAGGGTAACTCCAGCTCCCCCTTAAGATTGCTGCTTGAAAAAGCTCAGTGTTGCCAGGAGAATTTACTGTCTGTTCCAGCCCAAAGTGGGAATAGGGCGGTAGGCTGCTGAGCCCTCCCACTGAGCAGTTACTTTAGAAAGCTTGCAATTATAAATGCTTTCTCTGCCCCTTTGAGACACGAATCTCCTACCACTCAGAATTGACTTTTCAAGGACCTGAGGGCTGTCTCTTTGAGATGCAAACATTCAAGGAGATAAGGTCACAGTCTGCTCCCGGGCTCCTGGCTATCTTTCCTAACTGATATCACGGCCTCCTGGAGAAGTTTGTTCCTCCTCTGTGTAAGCACCAATAGACAGCCCCAGATGGCCTAGTCATGTGGACCAACCCCCTTCCCAGCCCCCAGTGCATTTCCTGAGCACACGTCAGTCTGGAAAGGTCTCCAGCCTTTTGTTTCAGCCAAGTTGAAGTCAGTTCACACTGGACTCTTTTCCCTATTGCAATAGTTACTATTGAATAAAATCTACCCTTACTGCTCTAACTAGATTTCAGCTTTGTTTATCCTTGACGGTCAGGGTGTTGTTGGCATTCAGCTTCTCCTGACCTCCATGTGCCCTTGACTTGTTATCATTCCTCCCAGGTTTTCATCTTTCTTTTTCACTGAATATTGGAAGAGCAACGGTCAGATTCTCCTGGCAGAGGATAAATCTGGTTAAGAGGATGAATCTGAAGCATAATAGAGGGTGTGTGATAGACCTTGGCTAGATTATAATCATTAGCATATTATCTGATTTCTTTCTGAATGATTGACTCAAATGTTGGGTAGGACAATAAAAATTCATTTTCTCTTTGCTGTTTCTTTTCTCCTTTCCTCAACCTTTTCTGTTCTTCCTGCTTATCCTTTTTGTAACAGGGTGTAACCAAAATATTACACTGGAGGTCTTAAATTATAGTTGATGTATGACATGAAATGCATTTTCCCGACATAGCTCTGTTATCTAAAAAACTGCATTTATGTTTTGGTGACACAACCAAGCCAAAGATCAGGAGAAGGTAGGCTTTACTAATTGCAGCAGGTAAGAAGAACCCCGGGGATATTTTCCAAATCAGTGTCTCTCCGAATAGCAAAATTCGGGAAGTTTTAAGCTAAGGGGGTACATGCATATTAATGAAAGGGCTTGTCAGTTGACAGAGTCCAGGCATTCGTTGACTGAAGTTATGAGGGTCAGAAAAGGTCAATTTTGGGCTTCCTTGGTGGTGCAGTGGTTAAGAATCTGACTGCTAATGCAGGGGACGAGGGTTCGAGCCCTGCTCTGGGAAGATCCTACGTGACGTGGAGCAACTAAGCCCATGCACCACAACTACTGAGCCTGCGCTCTAGAGCCCACGAGCCACAACTACTGAGCCCACGTGCTACATCTACTGAAGCCTACGTGCTCTAGAGCCTGTGCTCGGCAACAAGAGAAGCCACTGCAATGAGAAGCCTGCGCACCGCAACTAGAGAAAGCCCGTGCACAGCAAGGAAGACGCAAAACAGCCAAAAATAGTAAATTAAAATAAATAAATTTAAAAAAAAAAAAAGGAAATGCCAATGTCATCATCCCTTAGGTTCCAGCTGTCCTGGTGGTTGAGCGCTTCAGGCTAATCTTTACCATTGCAACAAAACTGGGAGTCTTTACAACTGATACATTATCTTTACTATTGTTACTTGTCTTGCCTGATAACAGTCCTTTGTTTCTGCATTCTCTTGTTCCCTTAAGATCGTTAATAACTGAGACCTTTTCAAGGGCAAGCCTTGTGCCCAGGCCCAGATCGCAAAATGGCTTAGGCCAAAAATGCCTTCTCTTCTGTTGAGAAAGCCATGCCTGGTTCTCTTTCTCCAGGGACCCCCTACCCTATCTGCTTACATCTCTACTTAGCTAGAGTAAACCTTCTGAGCTCTAACCATCCCCTTTCCATGCCAGTTCAGGAGAATTGAAGGAAGGCCCAGGGTAGGATATTCCAAGGTCACTGCTCCACTCGAGTGTCAGTGTGACAGCTGATATTGTCAATTGAGGCCAGAAGTGACTTAGTGAGAACCAGAACATGGGTGGGATGACTTGACTGGACGTCTTGCCTGCCCTAATGTGGCCCCTTGCAGAAGGGAAAGCCCAGAGTTATCATTGAGAAGCTGGAGGGGTTGGGTGAGTATCCTGTCACCCATCTGCAATTCAGTTTAGTGATTGTGGATCTCCCAGATTTCTCTGTCTATACCAACATGCCCATTCACCACTGTGGTTGTCAAGGATAAGCTACCAGGGACTTCCCTGGTGGTGCAGTGGTTAAGAATTCGCCTGCCAATGCAGAGGACACGGGTTCGAGCCCTGGTCCACGAAGATCCCACATGCCGCGGAGCAACTAAGCCTGTGAGCCACAACTACTGAGCCCGCACGCCACAACTACTGAAGCCCGCGCGCCTAGAGCCTGTGCTCCACAACAAGAGAAGCCATTGCAATGAGAAGCCCGTGCACTGCAAGGAAGAGTAGTCCCCGCTAGCCACAACTAGAGAAAGCCCACGCGCGTCAGTGAAGACCCAACGCAGCCCCAAAACAAATAAATAAATTTAAAAAAAAAAGTGACTATAAAAAAAAAAAAGGGATAAGCTACAAGATGGGCATCTCTACCAACCAGACCAGCAAAACAGAGACTAAGGAGTGTAACACCAATCACAAAATCCAAACTTCCATGTGGGACAACATTCTTCAACCACAAACCCTAAGTACCTCCAGGAAATATTGTAGGACATTTAAAGAAGTGTATAGTAAACACTTGGTAAGTGTTAACTATGTTACAGGCACTGTGTTAAACACTTTATAAACATTATCTCATTTAATCCTCTCAAGATCCTGTGTGGGTAGGTTCTGTTACTACCGTTATTTATAAAGAAGACGGACCTGGGAGAAGGTAAGTAATTTACCCAAGTGACAGAGCAAGGACTTGAACTCATCGTGTGATCCCTTCCCACCTCTCTGATTTTATACCCTTACCAGGTGGGCCCTCTCTCACTCTCTTTTTCAGAGCCCAGGTGGTCTCTTGGTCACCACACTGAACTTCTGGCTCTTGCTCCTAAAGCCAAGTACACTCTCTTCTAGCCAAGTACACTCTCTTCTGAGACCTGAGCACATGCTGGTCCCTCGGCCTAGACTCATCTTCCCTCAGATAACACGTGGATTTCTCCCTCCCTTCACCCAGGTCTCAGTTCAAATATCAGCTTTTCGATAAGGTCTTCTTTAATTCTCCTATCTATAATGGCATCCCCAACACTTGCCAATTTTCTTTTTTTTTTTTGCGGGACGCAGTCCTCTCACTGTTGTGGCCTCTCCCGTTGCGGAGCACAGGCTCTGGACGCGCAGGCTCAGTGGCCATGGCTCACGGGCCCAGCCGCTCCGCGGCATGTGGGATCTTCCCGGAGCACGAACCCGCGTCCCCTGCATCGGCACGCGGACTCTCAACCACTGCGCCACCAGGGAAGCCCTTAGAGATAATTTTTTCAGCCAGGACTTCTGCCCCCAACTCCACCCTGTGACTGGCAACTTAATATCTCCACTTGGCTGTCAGTCAGCTTCCTCAAACTCCCTGAGGTTCTACCCCAAAGGGAGCTCAGATCCCTCAGATCCTGCCTTACCCCAATGTGCTGTTCCTGCAGTCTTCCTCATTTCAGTTAATGGCAGCCCTATTCTTCTGATCCCTTGAAGAAAAACCTTAGAGTCACTTTTCACGTCTTTCCTTCTCTCACACTTCCTACCCAAACTGTCAGCAAATCGTACTCTCTACCTGCAGCAGATATCCTTGCTTCAACCACTTCTCACAGCCTCTACCCCTGCCTCTTGTCCTACTCACCTTTGCTTCTCACCTGGATTATTGCAAGAATCTCCTAACTGATCTCCCTGCTTCTGGCCCAAGTCTCTTTGTTCCCCCACAGAGCAGCCAAAGTGATCCTCTTAGAATATTAGTCAGATCACATCAGTCGTCTGCTCAAAACCCACCAATAGGCTTCTATCTCACTTCGTAAGAGCCAGAGCCCTCCCAGTGGGCCAGTATCTCTGCACTGTCTGGGCTTCCTTACCTTTCTGACCTCCTAGATAACTGGAATAAATAACTGCAATATCTGTTGGAAGAATGAATGAATTCACAGCAAGATCTGCTCATTCCTCTGTTTGTTATCTGTCTTTCTCCACCTGAATGTAAACACCATGAATGTAGAGACTTGCACGTAGTAGGTACCCAATAAATATTGATAAGATGAATGAACGTCTGACTATCTGAACTCAGACTATCTGACTATGAAGACATCCGCTTACCCCACTGTACACCACATCGTAGAACAGCTGGACTTTGGGGCTCTCTGGTTTTATGATACACTCCGAACCTTCCCCGCATCATCATTTTTCACTTCTCCCCAGCCATTTGACACTATATTACCCTGCTTTCCTCTCTTAAAAGAGATTTCACGGTGTTAAGTTTTCCTTCTATGCTAATGGTTACCAAACTCAGAATTTCAGGTTCCAGACCTGAATTTTCAAATAGCTGCTGTGATGAAACCTGGTCCTTGAGAACAAAGTAAAAAAACTCTTGCCATGTTCCAGCACACAGTGTGCACCCAATCAAGGTTAGTTCCCGTTCCTTTCTTAGGACACAGAAAAGGTGCACATCGGTTCCACTTTACGCTGGGGTGCAGATGCGGGAGGCGGGGGACCAAGAGTGGGGTGGCTCTTCGGCCAGCAGAACATCTCCATTTTATTTTATGCCTGCCCTGTAGGCTTCACCTCACTTGCATCAACCTGCAGAATGTGGAAGTGAAAAATCTGTCTCTGGCAACCCTGCCCCCGCTTAGGCACTCCTACTTCCTTCCTCTTCGCTGTAAGATTAGGTGCTCTTCCTCCCTGGACAGGAGCACACACACGTCTTTTGGGCATGTTCTTGAGTGTTTCAGCAGAAGCAGACTTCCAGCCACCTCCCGCTAGCTCCGTGATGCAAGTCACATCACTTTTTTCCTTTTGGTAAAAATCAGTTCCTCATCTGTAGAATGGGTACACTATTCACTCTATGTTGTGAGGTTCAAATTATATAATAGGATGCAGTAGTACTTTAAAGATATTAGGCATATACACTTTTTATTTATATTGAAATAAAAGTATTCTATGAGAAAACAGAAAAGTGGTTGCCAGGGGTTGGGAGGCAGGTAAATAGGGAGAAGTTGGTAAAAGGGTACAAACCTTCAGCTATCAGGTGAATAAGGTCTCAGACTGTCATATAAAGCATGGTGACTGTAGTTGATAAAACTGTATTGTATAATTGAAATTTGCTAAGGAGGCAGAACTTAAATGCTCTCACCAAAGGGGAAAAAGAAAAGAAAAGAAAAAAGACAAATATGTGAGGTGATGGATATGTTAGTTAACTAGATGGAGGTATTCTTTCATAACATATATATATATATATATATATATATATATCAAATCACCACAATGTACACTTGGACTAACAATTTTATATGTCAGTTATACCTCAATAAAGCTGAAATTTAAAACGTAATAAAATAAGAAAGTGTAGCCCTTATAGTCTATGAAATTCTTCTATAGTGTGTAAACTAGTCTTACCTCAGAAACACAAGTACAGGGCACAGTTGTTAAGAATCCGCCTGCCAATGCAGGGGACACAGGTTCGAACCCTGGTCCGGGAAGATCCCACATACTGCAGAGCAACTAAACCCGTGAGCCACAACTACTGAGCCCCCATGCCACAACTACTGAAGCCTGTATGCCTAGAGCCCGTGCTCCACAACAAGAGAAGCCACCGCAATGAGAAGCCCCTGCACGACAATGAAGAGTAGCCCCCGCTCGCTGCAACTAGAGAAAGCCCACGCGCAACAAAGACACAATGCAGCCAAAAATAAATAAATAAAATTTTTAAAAAAAGAAAGAAACTATGAGATTAAAAAAAAGAAACACAAGTATATGCCTCTTGGAGTAAAAAGTTGCATTGCTTCCTCCACCTTGAGCCCTCCAAAGAGCATTTACTGTAATTCGAGACTTTTCCCCCCAGTATTTCTAGGACCTTTATAGAGAAAGAGGAAAGAGTAGAATTTTTTCCAATTTGAGGCCTGTTCTGAATTTTCTTCTCACAGCTCAATCTTGCTTCCATTAATTTTTAAAAGTTTTGTGGTTGTTACCAGTAAGACATAATAAAATATTTTTAAAAGATTTAATTTAAAGAAAAAAAACACCATGCATTAGTTTCCTATGGCTGCTGTAACAAACCATCACGAACGTGGTGCCTGAACATGTCACACGTTTAGTGTGGTTGTTCTCATAGTTCTGGAGGCCAGAAGTTCGGTATCAGTTTCTCTGGGCTAAAGTGAAGGTACCACAGGGCTGTGCTCCCTCTGGAGTCTCTGGGGGAGAGAATGTTTCCTTGCCTTTTGCAGTTTTTGGTGGCTGCTGGCATTTCGTGGTCCATGGCCTCTTCCTTGTTCTTCAAAGCCAGCAATTTAACATCTTCAAATCTTGCTTTTGTCATCATCACATCTCCTAGTTTCTCTTCTCTGTCAAATCTTCCTCTGCCTCCCTCTCAGAACGATACTTGTGATTGCATTTACAGCCCACCTGAATGTTCCAGGATAATCTCTCCATCACAAGATATTAAATTTAATCACATCTACAAAACCCCCTTCCTCTATAAGATAATATTCACAGAATACAGGGATTATGACCTGGATTATCTTTGGGGTCATTATTCAGCCTACCACAGAAAGGATGCTTTTTTTTTTTTAAGTCCAGAACTTTTAAATCAACTAGAAAACTTTTGTAAATCAACTATACTTCAATTTTTTTAAGAAGTTCAAAAAATTTTGTGCTAAATAGTAATAGTAATACTTAAATAGTGCATTCTATGTGCTGGACATGTTTTAAGTGTGTGTGTGTGTGTGTGTGTAACCATTTTTTTCTCACCTTAAAGATTTTTGACTCAGTTCTTTTTTTTTTGGCTGCGTTGGGTCTTTGTTGCTGCATGCAGGCTTTTCTCTAGTTGCAGCGATCGGGGGTTACTAACAAAGCCCGTGTGCTACAACTACTGAGCCTGTGCTCTAGAGCCCAAGAGTCACAACTACTGAAGCCTGCGTACCTAGACCCACGCTCTGCAACAAGAGAAGCCACGGCAATGAGAAGCCCACGCACTGCAACAGAGTAGCCCCAGCTCGTCGCAGTGCAAGAGACCCTTTGGCCCACCTACGTCATCCACTTAATTTTCTCCTAGTAAAAGAATTTAGTTATTCCGGTAATAGCAGTGAAATATTATTAGAGCAACTGAGAGGGAAAGGAGAGGTGGAAGGATTGTCTGTCCATTTGTGTTTACAATAGAAGTAGAATCATTTAAATTTGAAACGCCCTGTCTACCTACCTTAAAGTATATTTACAGGGAAGTTATAAGCCAAAAAAAAAGTTGATGCAACTGTTTAACAAACCTCAGTTAATTAGATAACCAACAATAAACTATGTGGATAGCAATGAAGCTAAACTAATGGGACTTGGTAGCTACATGAACGAAAAAGTGTCATAATAGAAAATACAGCCATCTCAGAATAACACTGATGATAAGACGTGCTTCCTGAAAGCATCAGGAATTCCAACCCACACTCATGGGGGTGCATGAGCAAGAGGAAATTTGATACGTTAACAAGTATTATGTAGCAAGCAGTCTACTGAATTACAGTCCTTAGTACACTGTAGACTATGCTAACTTTCACTACGAACACTGATTTTATGAATACTTGGAGGCTTACTGTAACTAGGAAGTCTTGATAATAATGATGATGAAAACACATTTTTGAGCCCTGCCTATGTGGCAAGCACTGTGCTAAATACCACAGTGCATTAATAGGAATTATGAATCTGAAGCACAGCGAAGTTAAGTAACTTACTTCAAGTTACACAGCTGAAAAATAGTGGAACTTGGTAAAGGAACGCAGGCAGCCCTTATGGATAAAAATGAAAGGCTATGCAACAATTTGGAACAATCTTCGAGAATCGTTGTTTTGGACATTTAGACCACTGCTTCTTCCAGAGTTGATATTAAAACCATAAGCACTTTTTCTGACCTCTACTCAAGCGACTTTAGAATTGGATTATAATTACTCATTTACTCATAGATTTCCTCCATTAAATTGTCAGCTCCTGGAGATCAGAGAACTCATCTTATCTTGTTCTTTTTGTTTTCTAAGGCCCTTGCAAAAGGTCTCGCACCGAGGAATGGCTCAATACATGTCTCAATACACTCTTCCTTTAAGAGTGTCTCAATACACTCTTCCTTTAATTGTTTCACATAGTAGAGCTGACCACTATGTTTTACTTCTCTGCTGATCACAACATTTTATTTTAGTAAATATGTATTCAACCCTCTAGCCACGTGTCACCCTCAGGCATGGTGATAGAGTGCTGGTAAACTTACACACGTGCCTGCCCTCAACAAGTTTGCATCTAGTGGGGGAGACAGACGCTGAAGGAGCCATTAATATGATACAGTGATAAGAAAAGTAGGAATGCCATCTAAGCGTACAGTAAAGGGGCGGATTCTAAAGAAAGGTCAAGAGAGACTTGTGGGGAAGTGTTTATGGTTGAACGCTGAAAGCTGAGTGGTGGTGAAGTCAGATGGAAGAGGGATGGAGTGGTGGAGAGGTTAGAGAGAGTGTCCTAGATGGGAGACAGTGTGTTGGAGGTGCACACATAAGAAGCACAAAACTAATACAACTTCATCAAGTTCTTCAGCTTCAGCACAAGAGGGAGAAAGACCACGGAGAGGCTGGGGGATTAGGGAAGGGCCAGCTTTGAGAGGGACATGTGTTAAGAGTAGGACTTTGTCCCAAGGCACTAGGAAAGCACTGGGGGGTATTAAACAAGGTTAGCGTCTTGATAGGATTTACATCCAAAATGATTTCACTTGCTGCCGTGCAGAGAATGGCTTGTAGAAGCAAAATGGAAGGCAGGGAGACCAGTTAGAAGTTATCGCAGAGGTCCAGGTGATGGAGCTTGGTGATGGCAAGGATGGAGAGGAGCTTCAGAAGCAAATGCCTAGGCAACCGAGAAGGTCAACCAAGCTCCTAATTAAAGTCTTAGAGCAAGACTTTCTCCAACTGCCTCATTATTCTTACTTTCCGTGATCTTTGAGAGAAAAGAGTATTGGCTTAGTATTCTTCGGATTCTAAACGTCATCCTTAAGGTCAAGGGAGCAGCTTCATCTCCACAGTGAAGATGAACTGTCAGCTGTGGGTTGGGGGGTGACTGAGGGCTGAACATGGTAGTTTTCAACCAGAGCCGTGCATCCGAATCACCTGTAGAGCCCAGGGTCCCATCCCAGGTCTACTGACTCACACTCTCTAGGTTGTTTTTTTTTTTTTAAATGAAGTATAGTTGACTCACAATATTATATTCGTTTCAGAGGTGCTTTAGATACCCTTGGATTAAGAATTTTGTGTCTAGGGTGGGAAGTACTGAGGGTCTGAACAGGGCTTTT